GGCGTTCTTTGGCGCTTCTGCTGTCATGGGAGTGGAGAGTGGTGGGGTTGTCGCCGCCACTGCTGCTGCTGCTGCTGCTGCTGCTGCTGCTGCTGCTGCTGCTGCTGCTCCTGCGGCGTTGTCTCCTGCGCCTGCTGCTGCGGCGGCTGGTGCTCCTGCTGCTGCTCCTGCCACTCCTGCCACTCCTGCTGCTGAGCGGCCTGCAGTGGCAGCAGACAGCACCAACACAGTGCATGCGACCTCTGCCTCTACCGCCTCTGCTTTAACACATGCGCATGCGTATTCCGCGTCCAAGCCACTCAAGCCCTCGTTCCCCTCGTCCGCCTCGCGAGGGCGAGAGAATAAAGAGCCGTGTGGTGACAACGGCAGTAACAACAACGGCGCTGCCACCAGCAGCAGCAGCATGACAGGGATTCCTGTCTTCAGGCGCCATAATCAGCATAACAAATCGGCAGCAGCAGGAACCGCAGGAGAAGCAGCAGCAGGAGGTGCGACGGACCCCAACCTTGGTGCAGGGCAGGGCATCGGCAGCAACAGCAGCGGCATTGGCAGCAACCTGCCTGCTCCTGTCCCCGCCTCCGCCCTTGCATCCGCGCCTGTCTCAGCGCGTATCGCTGCGCCTGCTGCTGCTGCGCCTACCCCCCTTGCCCCCCCGCCTGCCTCTGCGCCTGCGAAGCCATCTGGTCGGTCCCTGTGGCAGAAAATCACAGGTCTTGCATCGTCCGCCTATGTCAAGAAGAGCCCTGGCAGGTGGCAGGCTGTGACACTGTCACCGGTACCAGGGGCTAGCGGCCCTGCTGCCGCCTCCGCTGCTGCTCCTCCAGCTTCCCCTGTTGCTGCTTCTGCTGCTCCTGCTGCTGCTGCGGCAGCAGCTGCGGCTGTGGCTGCGGCTGTTTCTCCTGCTGGTGATTCGGCTGCGGTTATCAGGAAGAACGTGGCAGGGAACGTTGGTCAAGCTGATGTGGTTACACCGCCTGTAACCCCACTGTCTGTTAACCGGTTCGGCATGTCTCTTGCTGGTGGCAGAAGTGGTGCTGGTGCGTCGCTGCTGCCCGTGCCGCCAGGCTCGGCGCCTCCAGGCCCGGCGTCCAGGCTCGGCGAGCCTGGGTCGGTGGTGCGGCCTGGTTCGGTGGCAGCAGTGGTGAAGATTCTTGCTGCTAGCAATGGCAAGGCGGCTGGAGGAGGAGGGGAAGGAGGAGGCGGAGGAGGAGGAGGAGGGAGAGAGAGAATGGGATGGGGAGGGGGAGGAGGGGTGAGCCCAAGCTACGCCAGGGGAGCAGGAGGGTCTGAGAGGAAAAGATGGGGTGAGGGAGGAGGAGCAGCAGGCGGAGGGGGAGGGGGAGGAGTGAGGGGAGGTGGTGTTGGCAACAGTCGTCTGGTTCGACCGTTAGTGCTGGCGTTTGAGTCTGTTGCTGGTGCTGGCAGGGGTGCTGGGACTGCCGCTGCTGCTGCTGGTGCTGGTGCTGCTGCTGCTGGTGGTGCTGCCAGTGGCGTTGCTGGTTCTCCCCGGGTGGAGAAGGAGAGGAGGTGGAGGGTGGGAAGTGGGAGCGGGTCAGGGCTGCTCGCACGGACAAGGTCGGTGGGAAGCAACGTGCCTGGATCGTTGGACGTAGGGGAAAAGGACGAGGGAGGGAAGAAGGAGCAGCAGGAGAATGTGGGGGAGGGTGAGGCGCAGAAAGTAAGGGAGGAGGGTCCGTCGCGTGAAGGAGAAGGTACAAGAGTGGAGGGAGAGGGGAAAGGAGAGGAAAAGGACGGGGAGAAAGGAGAGGAGAAAGTCGGGGGGGAAGGAGAGGGTGTGAATGCAGTAGGGCTGGTAAAGCAGCAAGTGGCAGAGATTCAAGAGCTGATAGATAAGTCCCAGAGAGGTGCTCTGCCCGTTGCAGAGGTGGGGAAGGAGAAAGGGAAGGGCAAGGGGAACGCGGAGGGGAAGGTGGGAGTGACGGAGAGTGGAGCGTTGGGAAAGACGCAGGCGAGCAAGGGGAACGGTGCGGGAGGGAAGGGAGGGAGGGCAGGGACGGGAGGGGGAGCTGGAGGGGGAGTGGGCGCGGGAGTGAGGCAGCAAGGGGGGATTCAGGTGCAGTCGCGGCTGGGGCTGCCGCGGAAGGAGAAGGGGAGTGGGGGCGCGGAAGAGGCGCAGGGAAGTACTGGGGGGAGTGACTTGGGTGCGCGGCTGAGGGAACGGAGGGAGAAGGCAGAGAGGGAGAGGAAGGAGCGTGAGCAGAGGAAGAGGGAGGTGGAGAGTCAGAGAACCGCTGGTGCTGGTGCTGCTGCTGCTGCTGCGGCTGCGGCTGCTGCTGCTGCTAGGCCGGCGCCTGGCCCTACTGCTACAGCCGGGGGCAGCAATGGAAGGATGGCTGTAGCAGGAAAGGCTGTAGCGAGGAAGCCTGCAGCAGGAAAGGCTGTAGCGAGGAAGCCTGCAGCAGGAAAGGCTGTAGCAGCGAAGGTGGTGTCTGGGAGAGTGGCAGGTGGGGGTGGCTTTGGAGGAGTAGGGATTGGTGCAGGAGTTGGGGTTGGCATTGGTGCGAAGCTGAGGCGCCGGTCTGTGGCGCCGTTGAGAATTCACAAGGCTGTGATGCAGGGGGTGAGGGAGAGGAAGGGCAGGGAGGGGGAGAGGCAGGGGAAGATGGAGAGGAAGAAGGAACAGGGACGGAATCCTGCTGCTGCTGCGGCTGCTGCTAAAGCTACTGGTGAAACTGCTGCTAATGATCCAGGCTCTTCAGCGACGGAACCAAAGACACACGCACCAACACAAGCATTAGCAGAGTCGGCACCAGTGGTGGCACACACATGTTCGGGACCGCACCTGCATTCCCATCCTGCTGGAGTGGCAGGGGGAGCAGCAGGAGGCACAGGAGTGGGAGTGGGTGGAGCAGTGGTGAGGTGCCGCAACCCCAAGTGCGCGGCCAATGACGAGAGCTTCGCAGCACGAAGCAAGGTGCCTCAGAGGAACTTCCTGCGCGCCCGTAGCGGGCTGCAGCGCGTGGCTGCCCGCGGGGGAGGTGCTAATAGGTCAGGCGCCCCCGCTGCTGCTGCTGCTGCTGCTGCACCACTGGCCGCTGCACCAGCTGCTGTTGCTGCCGTTGCGCCGACTGCTGTTGCCCCAGCAGGTGTTGCTGCTACTGCTGGTGCTGCCGCACCCGCTGCACCTGCTGCATCAGCTGTTGCTTCTGTCCCTGCTGCTGCGCCTGCAGCCTTCGCCCCTACAGCTGCTGATACTGCTGATGCTGGTGATGCTAATACTGCTGTAGGAGTCAGAGTGGCCCAGCCAACACCGGAGCAGCAGCAGCAGCAGCAGCAGCAGCAGCAGCTTCTGCAGGGCGTGGTGCAAGAGAGCTCACAGGCCCTTCCTGCCGCCGCCGCTGCTGCTGCTGCTGCTGCTGCAGAGGCATCAGCAATAGCAGCAGCAGCAGGTGGAGCAAAGAGGGCAGCGGTGAGGGATATTTCCGCGAGTATAGACATAGGGCAGGTGAGCGGGATAGAGGAGATAGACCTGCTGGCGCTGCTAGGTCCTGACTCATACCTTGATGACGGTTGCAACGAGGATGATGGTACTGATGGTTCTGATGGAGCTGAGTCTGCTCCGGCTGCTCGGAAAACAGCTGTGCTGATCACAGATGCGAACAGCGCTGCTTCCTCTCCTCCTCAACCCGCCCCCGCTCCTGCTGCCGCTGCTGATGCGGCTGCTGATGCTGTCTCGTGTGCTGCGACCACTGGCTGTGCTACAGGGGTGTCTGATTCTCGAAGCTCCTGCGGCAGCAGTGCTGCTGGCCGCCCCCATGCTGCTGCTACAGCTGCTACAGCTGCTACAGCTGGAGCTGCTGCTACAGCTGGTGTT